GCCCCGCCCCCTTCCCCGCCGGAGGCGCTGAGGCCGCCCTCGCCCGGCCGCAAGTGGCCGAGCGGCAGCCCAAAGCCGGGTCTGCCCAACTTCAGAGCTCACGCGCCGCACCGACACCTTCCTCCACGGCCCTCAGAAGGCAGGGCCAGTCTGGCCGGGAGATGGTTTCAGAGACTTACATGAAGTTCTCCATCCGAGTAGACTAGTGTCCTTTTAACTAATGCAATGAGGTAGAAGAACACACACGCCCGGTCACTAAGAATCTACAGCCCTCCTCACTTACAGCCCTTCTCCACTCCCCAGACGGAAGGAGAAACTCAGTGTGAAATGGAGGCCCGGTGATGGGAACCCTGGATGCTTTGCTGAGGTCGGGTGGGAGATGCCCCTGGGAAGGGCAGACATTAGCAGTCTGAAGTGCCCTGCATCCAGGGGCTGGGAGGAACCAGATGGCCTGAGCCCCAAGCTCCTGGAAAACATTATTTAAGTTCTTACTGGAAGAATGTTTTCGGAAGGCAACACTGCAGATGTCATGGTGCACACCAAGTCTGGCCAAGCCTCAAATCTATTTTTCCTTTTCCGAATTTCACTTAGCAGAGCCCACTCAGAGTTCAAGGCACGGAGCTCAGAAGGCTGCAACCTCGGAGGAGCAGGCGCTGTTTTCCTTTGGAAAGCAGAAAGGAAAGTTGGAGTGCCCTGGAAAGCGCGGGGCCTGGTGCAGGCAGGCCACCTGAGCTGGATTACCCAGGAAATCCTGCTGGGCTGCTCCCTCCACCTTCCTGCCTTCGGAAGGGGAGCAGGCCTGTGGCCCTCACTCTAGTCCCAGCAGCCGGCTTGACATTGCTTCTCCCCATCCAGGTGGAGGGGCCAGGCCGCCTGTGGAAACTGTGGGCTTCGGCCTCAGGCTCTCCTGTTTGCTGTCTGTGCCAAAGCCCAGTGTCCTCCCCGCCCCTGCCACTCAGGAAGGATTCTTTCTGGTCAGTGTGGCCGTGTTTGTTTTGTATTTCATCCCACCTGGTGTTTACACGGTCACCCCAGTCCTCCCGAAGCCAAGCCTTCTCAGCCCAGTTCTGGCTGCACACTGGAAACCAGACGTGGACGGACGGATGTGGGCAAGGCCTCTCTCCTCTTGTGCCCTCTGAGTGGATTTATTAAAGCTGGAAGAGACGCCTGATTTCACAGATGAAGAAACTGCAGCAGGAAATGGCTGAGGGACTTGCCCAAGGTTTGCAGACCAACAGGTCTCAGGGCCTTCCTGGAGCAGGGCTGTTTCCAGCACACTCTCCATTCAACCTTATCCCACACTTCACTTAAATACAGGATCATAGGATTTCAGGAATTTTATTTACAGGAACAGAGTTTTTCCTAGAGTTTTTTTGTTTTCCTTTTCTCCTCCACCGCTTCCTCCTCCTTTTTGTTCTTTTTAACTTCAAGCATTTTTGAATTTCAACGTGGATTTTCTTTTTCCCTGTTTACCAATTTCTGCTTTTCCCTTGTCTGTGGCGGATTTCCATTTCGTGCTCTGGAGTCTGGTCTGAATTAACCCGAGGCCCCGCTGGCCCAGCAATACTGCCCCTTCTCTCTCTGTCTTCAGCTGCCCTTGACCTGCGCCCAGACGTGTTAGGGCTGCTAAGAGCGGACAGACCATGAGAATAAGCCACGTGCCCCCCAGTCAGGTTTCCAAAAACTAACCTATGACTTAATAAGATGGGCCTTCCTCGATATTGCTTCTTCTGTCTCCTCTGTGTTTAGTTTTCAAGAGAATATTCTGAAATGTCAGGGGATTGGTAGCGGGGGTGGGGGTGGGGATCTGCATATCTAACGAAAATACTTGTAAAGCTCTTTGGCAGCTCCTGGGGTCAGTGCGGTCTCTCTGGTCCACGCATGTTCCCTGTGTAATGTGGGAACACAAATCGAGGCAGGAGGATGAGCCACAGAAATCTGCGTGAGACCCGACCAGAAGCAGCACCCAGTCTAAGTCAGCTGTTTCAGAACTGTCTCAGGGGGTCCCTCCCGTAGCATGTGGCTTTCCCTTTTGGGTTTCCTTGGCTTCTCTGTGGCTGAATCGAGCCTGTCGTCTCCCTCTGAGCTGCTTCTCTCCCTTTGCCTCCTTCACACACCACACCTCTATCTGTGATTCTACGTGGAATCAGCCCCCACGAAGCACCTAAAAGGAGCCCAGGAGCAAAGCCCACAGGTTAGCCCGGGGCAGGAACAGGGGGCGGGCGGTTGAGCAGGAGTGCAGTGACTTAGTCCAATCTACTCTTCACGCCAACATTTACTGAGTGCCAGTGCCAAGCACCACCCTGTGTGCTTCTGCGTTTGCTTTCATACTACATACATCTCGAGCCCCAGTCGTGCAGTCCTGTGTTGAACTTGGACGAGATCGTCTGCTTATGTCTGAGACCATGACAACTAAAAGAGACTGCCGCCTCCTAGAAGACCGTCTCCAATTTTATAAAATGAAAATCTGTAGGAAAACATTTAATTGTGCCATGAATAAAGACCCAGCACCAGTTAACACCTGCTGAAAGGAGGAAAATGTTGCAAATCACGTACAAAGCTAGAAGGAAGTTTAAAAAGACGAACTAAAATCATCTAAATCCACAATAAGTCATTAAGGGATACACCAAACAGAAAGATATAAAATACGATGTCAGAAACAGTAAACATGGGGTGGGGGTGTAAAAATTCAGGGTTTTTGAAATGAATTTGAACTGGAGAGAACAGCAACTTAAAAGTTTCTTTTAAATCTGATAGGAGAAAAAGAAGTTATAAACAAAAAGTATATTTAAACTATACAATGGAATACTACTCAGCCATGAAAACTGACAACATAACGCCATTTGCAGCAACATGGATGCTCCTGGAGAATGTCATTCTAAGTGAAGTAAGCCAGAAAGAGAAAGAAAAATACCATATGAGATCGCTCATATGTGGAATCTAAAAACAAAGCATAAATACAAAACAGAAATAGACTCATAGACATAGAATACAAACTTGTGGTTGCCAAGGGGGCGGAAGGGAGGAAGGGATAAACTGGAATTTCAAAATTGTAGAATAGATAAGCAAGATTATACTGTATAGCACAGAGAAACATACACAAGATCTTATGGTAGCTCACAGAGAAAAAAATGTGACAGTGAGTGTGTATATGTCCATGTATGACTGAAAAATTGTGCTCTACACTGGAATTTGACACAACATTGTAAAATGATTATAAATCAAAAAAAATGTTAAAAAATATATTTAAACTATCTTTTATATTTATCTACATAGTAACATTACTGGAACTATTTACTTCTTCATATGTTTTCAAGTTACTGTCTAGCAACAAATTCTCTGCTTTTGTTTATCTGGGAATGTTTTTTTGTTTTTCATTTTTGGTGAATAGTTTGCCTGAAGATAGAATTCTTGGTTGATAGATTTTTTTTTTCTCCTTTAAGTGCTCTGAGTATGTCATCTCATTGCCTTTTTGCCCCCATGGTTTCTGACGAGATACTGGTTTTTAATCTTATTGCGTATCCTTGGATGTAATGATTCACTTCTCCCTTGTTGCTTTCAAAATTCTGTGTCTTTAGCTTTTGGCAGTTTGATTATGATGTTTCAGCATGGAGCTCTATGAGTTTATCCAACTTGAAGTTTGTTAACGTTCCTGGAGGTATAGATTAAGGTTTTTGCATCAAATTTGGGGAATTTTCAGCCCTTGTTTCTTCAAATTTTCTTTCTGCTTCTTTCTCTCATCTATTTTGATACTCTCATTATGCATCTGCATGTATGTTTAATAATGCCCCACAGATCTCTGAGTTCTGCTCATTTTTCCTTCATTCTATTTACTTTTTATTCCCCAGACTAAGCTCAATCGACCTATATTCAAGTTCATTGATTCCTTATTCTGTCTGTTTAAAACAACTGTTGAATTGTCAAATGATGACAATCTTTGGAAATGAGGTTTTGAAAGATCTCCGGATCCATTCTGCTCCCTGCAGTACTGGGAGTGTGGACCCTTAATTTTGAAGGCTGCTGCTGAGCTGGGGAACAGGGCAGGGGAGTAGGACAAATTAAAACAGCATCAAGCTTGATGTTCGTACTGAAATTCAGGCATTTTTCTTGAATAAATGCTACTTAGGTTGAGTTCTGAAAAGGTGAATTCTGAAATTTTTCATGAGTTTTTTCATTGTTTTAATAAAGGGACAAACTTTGGATGTCCTTTGTCCCCATTTTCTGATGTCACCCCCACATTATTTTTTTAAGCAGGCAGTTTACATGGTTGGACTCAAGCCAGACTTTGTCTCCTGTGTTAGCAGAAATCTCAGTCTCAGTTTTTTCGTCTTAGACGGGCGCATGGAGCCTGCACCAGACTTGCACAGTTCCGGGAGAGCTAGCGATCTGGGAGGCTTATACACAGAATGTGGTGCTTACCTTCTCTGGTTCTCTCCTTCGGTAATTCTTTCACTTTCCAGCTGCTGTGTTTCTTCTAATCTCTGTCTTCCAGTCCAACAAGTGAAATTCAGGTTTTATATCTGGGTTTAATCTCCACTTGGCACGAACTGTGCTCTGCTCTCAGTGTAAAAGCCATAAAAATGGGAAATGCTTCCAGTGCAATTCCTCTCATCCAAGTGTTGAGTCCCTTCCAGTGTCGCCCTGCTTTTTGTCTCTCTCCAATGTCTTCACGTAAGTTGTTGTTTTAATTCTATCTGGAGTTTTTATCTGTGGGGAAGGTTGGTCCAATAGAAAGTACTTCTCCATTATCAGAACTTGAGATCCACAAATACATTTTATAATAATAAATTCATTATTTAAAAAGCAATTTCTTAGAGAAAAGGCCAGCTTGTTCATTCTCCATGTAATATAAATATGTGAAAAAGTTCTTTGCAAGTGGATGTACTAATGCCCAATTTTTTTTTTAAAAGAAGATAAAATTTAGGAATAGAGTGTTTTACTTTCAGTGTTTTCAGTAGTGGTAAACAAAATAGATACTGTATTTAGCTCTCTGGACATTACTATGTCCTAAGGAAATGTCCATTTATCAAATTAAGAAGCAGGGAATCAGAATTATGCCTATGTAGAGACAAGAATTTGGAGACTAGAATGAAAGACAACGCAGGAATATAAAATGATGTAGCGAGCTGTAAGCGAAGTATAGAAGGTATATTTTAAGTTCTGATGTGCAGTTCAGCCCTCCTGTGGTACTTCTGCCCCTCTGACTCTGAGGATCCAGAGTTGAAAGGCAGACTAGGAGACAGGCTTCAGCTCTGGCCTGAGGGGACCTGGGGCCAATGATGCTTCCCTGGTTCCCCATCTTCTCTTCTGTAAAATGAGCTCAGAGGCCTCGTCTAGCTTTCAAGTTCTAATTCTGAGACTGGAAATACACCAAAATGATAAGTGTTTTGTTTTCTGGCCAGGATGGTGGTACTCTTTGTACACTCTTTCCGCACATTTTTAAAAACTTTGAAAAATTTCATCCCCAAATTGGTATTTGGTAAGTAAAAGTAAATTTATAAATTTTTTAAAGGCGAGAATTAGAGATCGAAAGTATTGAGATTAGACCTCTTCAGAGACACTACTTTGGCACCACCTGCTGGAGAGTGTTTAAAAGCATTCCTGTACATAAACTTTCACTGCAGTTCCTTATTACTTTCCCAAACTGATTTAAAGGAAATACTGCCAAAATTATTTACACTTGAATTCAGTACCATTGCACCTTATGTTAGTAGGAATTTAGCTGTAAATCTATTCACCGAAGGGGCACAGGACTCGCGCTGGGTAACTTCACTTTTGACACATGTGAACAAAACTTAGAATGTGCTTGAATTTCATACGGCGTTTGTTTCAGCTGGGTCTCGGCGCCTCCACGACAATCACCATTGCATTTTTTTCTGCTAACCTTAGCCATCCTGGGAAGGCCTGTGCACCAGGCACTTTAGATACATTACCTTACTTAATCATCTAGCGAGCATACATGTTCGTTGAAAGGAATTTCCCTTCTCCCCAGGACTCTGGGGACAAGCCTTCAAGGGTGCTTCTCACCAAAGGCTGGCAATGCGCCAGCTCTGCCACTTGCCAGGAGGGTGACCTTGGGTAGGTTATCTGACTGCTCTGTCTCCATTTCTGGTCTATAAACTGGCTATACCTACCTCATTGGTACTACGAGACTACAACACCTAGCAAGGCCTGGTGCTCCCTTCTGCTGGCTGGATGCAGGCGACAGGCCCTAGGGGATGGTGGGCACACAGGATGAAACCTTGGGCCCCGAGGGACCACGTGGAGGAGGGCTGCCGTGTTCACCTCTACACCTGTCCTGGAACAGTTACAAGATCAAGAAATAAACTTCTTTTTGTCTTGACCTACTGCAGTGTAATCAAGTTGTGACCGCAGCCGAGCTGAAGCCAGACACTAACCATGGAGCCACTGGGCTGCATTTCCGCTCAGTCCTGTCTACACAGGTGTCTACACAGATGCGTTCACCTATGTGACTTTGTATCATGTTTCCTATAATGGGCACTTTTCTATGTTATCATATATTCTTCATAATGATTTAGTGGTTGCAGAGTACCATAATGTAGCTGGTTAAACCATAATTCACTTAATCATTCTGTTATTATTTATTTTGTTTATTTTTTCTCTATTTTAAGTAGTGCTATAATAAACACTGTTGTGCAGAAGCCTTATTCTATATTTTAAATCATTTTTAAAAGTGACTAGAATTGATATTATTCAAAGGTTGTGAACACGTTCTTAAACTTTTCACAAAGACTGAATCAATTACATTACTCTCATTAATGATGCGCTCATTTCATCAGACACTGAAAGCAAAAGGATTTTTACAAATACTTAATATATAAACTTGAATCAATTTGACTTTAAAAAATTTCCCTCTTTTATTTTGCATTTCTTTGGTCACTATGGAGGCTGAACACTTTTCCGTGTTTGTTAATTAGTTGTACTTCCTCTTTTGAGAATTTTATGTCCTGCCACCTATTGGAGTCCACATTTCCTGTAGATTTATGCAATTTTAGCATAATCGGTATTATCAGGAATCAAACAACCAAAATTTCAGAAAGCATTTTATTAAGTCAGAACATATATTAAGGCACAAAAATACATCCTTTTTTTCAAACAAAAATCTTTGAAATACTTTTGTCCTATATTCAAGGCAACTTCTTCCAAATTATGCAATAATTTAACCTTTTAAATAAAAAATATATATATTTTCTTAAACCCTGAAACTTTCTCCCCAAATACATGTTTTCCTAGTTGTAAAGAAGTGTCTTATTGTGCTCCTGTATTATAATGTACATTTCCTTAAGAATCTAGTTTTGTCACTTACGTTATGTTTAGTAACTGCAACCAATTCGTTCAACTTCTTTCTTATAAGGCTTGGTGTTTCGTATTGCTTATTGCATGCTGTCGATCATACGAAGACCCAAAACTAGGGACTCAGAAATCTAGCATAACATGTCTCGTAAACCAGCCACGTATAGCCTTGTGCACGTATAGACTCAAACTCCTTTTAAAAAAAAGGATATAAAAGTCAATCTTACATGTACACTTCTCATACTTTCAGCCTTCACATTGTAGTAGTGCAAACATAATTACTGTATTAGTGGGGAAAGTCGATACTCTCTGCAGACAGCAGGTTTCAAATTGATTTTTTTTACAGGAAGAGTATGGGGACATCTTATCTCTTGGGCTTGAAAATTTGCATATTCATCTATTTTTCCTTTTTTTAAAAAAATTAACTGTCCTTTAAAGCACATACTCATACTAACTCAAATCATGAAAATTCCCTTTTAAGTGAATGCACACATCACATAAACCAAACATGAAGTGCATAAAAAGAACACTTAAGCATTTTGCCTGGAAACATATAAAATCCAACTCTTATCCTCAGATTCCTTCATTAATAGGGAGACCCATTCTTGATAGCATCCTAGGAATAAATCGATGAGATCACCTGCCCGGTTTCAGGAAATTCTGTGCAGAAGTGGGGATGGTGGGCGTACAGCGGCCTTGGGTGCTACCTCTCCCTGCCACCTCTCCCCACGCCCTTCACAAGAACTACAGCTACAGCTCTGGGCACCCCCCGCCCCATGTATGCAAGGGGCTAGGAAGGCCCTCCAAACCAATACTCAATTCAGGTCACGAGCCATCAACAGATAACACGGTTGTCACTGAATGTGGCAGACAGGGTATAAGCCATTTGAAAAGCATTTCTGACAAGGCGATCAGGAGAAAATGCAGCTTTGCTGAAGAGGAAAGTCTGCATGTGGCATGTACCAGAGCTGCCCAGGTAGCATCATTTATCTTGCCAGCTGCAGAAAGAAGTGTTTTCACAGACACTCTCCAGGTTCTGTCAGGGGCAGTCTCCCTTATTATTACACTTACCACCAACTCCCCACTCGCGCTTCACTATGTCTGCAGCTGGCGGCCCAGGATTCCACATTTCAAAATCCAGCTAGAGCCATGAGAGAGTCGGGGCTCAATCTGCCTCAAAATCTGGGGAGTGGCATTAGATCAGAATGTTAGAACAAGAAGGCACTGGCACCCCCAGCTCAGAAACAGCTGGGCTGAGGGTAAAATACACCAAAACCAGAATGGACAGAAGTGCTGGGAAACAGACCCCATTACTGTGACAGAAACAGAAATAAGGAAGGGAACCCACACTGTTAATGAGACATTGTTCCCTTCGGAATGATGTCCCAAAGCAACGGCGTCATTACAACCGTGCCTTGTTCAGTACAACATGGTTCAATATTCACTACTGTAAATAAATTTGAAAGTATCTTCCAAGAGACATTACTACTAGAAACCTTTTTACTAACCCCTATGAAATGAGTAAATGAGAAATCGGTTCAAAAGATAGGCTACTGAAAGTAATAATTTTGTTTTGTGGCTACACAATGAAAAAAAATGAAAGGTTATAATTTGAGTGTTTGTCCTGGTTAAGACTTAAATGCTTCTTAATCAAAAACTCTGAAGTCATCCTCAGTTCACAAGGTTAGGACTCCTTCAAAGAAAGACGTATAAGAGTCTAACTTTAATTCCTATTCTAAGTGTCCACTAGCCCCGTATCTTTGGTCAGGAGAGCAGCAAACAGTCACCATTTCCATCTCACTATATTCAACTGCTTTTCAAGTTTAGAACATCCTGTATTTTTTTACAATAAAAATTAAAAATTCTCAAATCACACATTATATAATAAAATAATGTATATAACACAGTTTAAGGTTAAAAAATTAATTACAAGATTAATGGTGCTGGACTATGTAGCTAAATATATGTTTTATTACAAAACCAAATATGCTAAGATTACACAGAAGGTTCTAGTTTCCTCGAGGTTCACTGGTAATGAGTCTCTGGCTTGCCAGGGAGGAAGTGCCCTGGCGGAGCCACGTGGCCAGATGACCCCACCTGCCCCAGGCAGATTCAGCAGCAGCACATGGACATCGGCCTGAGTGAGGGGACAATGGCAGAGAAGATCTTTGGAAGTGACCTGTCTCTCCGTGTACTTGTGTTCCCCTGAGCTCAGACAGAGAAGGCCTAACGCCATGATTCGATGTGTGTGGTGATAATTACACACAAAGGCTTTGTGCAGACATGTACATACACACACAGAGAGCCAAACTAACTAAATAAACATCCTTATGTTTCAACGTTAACCAAGTTTTACTTATTATCAAATTACTTCAGCGTAAAATTCAAATAAAATGATTATTGCATCTAGTAACTGTGAACCCAAGAGATGGAGACACTTTAGAAGAATCACATCATGTGTCTCAGAGGTCAGTGAAAGAACAGTAGGAGTGTAGGTAAAAAAATTATTTCAATCTGGAATGATCGTGTTTCCCAGAAATAAAACAGAACCCAAATTCACATGCCTGCCATCCATCAGCTTAGGGCATTTGGGCACCTGTTTTTATTATAATACTTTTCTCAGATTATTGCCAGGTCTAGGCAATTTAATGGACATTAAGCTCGCATTCAAGAGTCAGCTTAGAAAGGGCTGCAACTAGAAACTGACGTTGTAATTGACTGTACTTCAATTTAAAAAAAAAGGGGTTGCAGAACCCTCCCACCATCTGAATTCTTAATTTTAATATGCAGATTTCCAAGATAATGTAATAAAAACTTGTTGTACTATATCAAAACAAAGTTCTCTTTCAGTCTTGAGGAAGTCCTTCACCATTACGTAGGTTTCACGTGTATGTGTTCCGATCACATTATCTTTTCTGAAGAGAACATTTTTTCTGCCATTTCAGATCTGGTCATAATTTCCTTAAAAAAAAATAAAAAGGAAGATATTTATCAACATGTTGATGGTCCTTCCAGATCCTAACAATTCTCTACAGAGT